TTCTCCTTCTCCTTGGATTGCTCTGCTTCAGGTGCAGGTAGAGCTGGGGGGTCCTGACACAGCGCACCACCCACAAAATAGTTTTCTTCAATGGAGGGCCTTTGAAAAAAGGCGTAGCAAAACGCATCCATCAAATTCCACCATCTTGTATCAAACCGCTGCTCCGTAACAGAATCGTTTTGGAATTGACTGGCCTTCTTTTCAAGCTTGGAAGATTTGGAAGTCTTCTTCGAAGAGGGCGAAAGGCCTTGCTCCTGGTCAGGCAGAAAGAATCCACATTTTTGACTCACCTCTTACATCCTCTTACTGACGCCAAGATGTAGACCAAAATCATTAAATAAACGTACAAATCCGCAAATCTGACAATCTATATGTTTGCGCATCCCCTCCAACCAAGATGACCCAAGGCGCGTCTTTTGCCATTTTGCACAAACATTGACCAACAGGTATATATGAACGCCAAAGAGGTCCCAAGACGATGAATTAACGCACATTGGGCACTGTAGGCAAGGCCAGAACGCTCAGAGACTTCTACTTGAAGGATGTGCTCACAAACAAGAAGGACACTGCGACTCCAAATTGGACACAGCAAGGCAAACCCAGCCCGCTGTACGAGCGCCGTCCTGTCCTGTCTGGATTCACATCAATTAGCTTCAAAAACGCCACTGACTGGTCATGACTGGTCATCTTCGCTCATCCAGGGCCCCCAGGGCGCATTGGATTTTGAAGTTTCTTGGTCATCTGCATCTGGCGCTTCGCTCATCATGCTCTCCAAATCCACTTCGCGAGGACCAGAGTTCTCACCGTCCAAACGCCATGTCAGCTCTGAAGCTGCTGGTGCTTCAGAGGCATTCGAAGGCGATCTTGAGCGGCTTGAACGAGGCCTGCTCGCAGCTGGCGTATCAGAGGCAGGTGGAGGAGGACGCTTCCGGATATTCTGGGAAGGTGGCGGCGAGTCACAATCAGGCTTCGCTGGCTGCAAAAGCTCACTCAGAGTGAAGCCCACACCAAGGTTGAACACATTGCAAGATCGGTTTTGTCCTACAAGGATCGTCTTATGTGTTGACTCAACAGCCGAGCCGCGCTCTGTGCCCGCTTTGCACTGAATGTTGAAGACGTTGCAAGAAAGGTTTTTTCCCACAAGCACCGTCTTGTTAGGTGACCCGGCATGGGTACCGTGCTGCATGTCCTCTGCGACCTGAAAGTTGAAGACATTGCACTGTTCATTTGTCCCTGTCAAAGTTGTCGGAGCATTGGGGAAATGACTACGACTGGCTTCCAACTTGTCAGGTTCATTCAGTGCTCTGCGCAAGGCCGCAGCGAAGACCCTAGCTCTGGGATTTGCCATTGCCACAGATGAAAACGAGAACGAGGACAAAATACGAAAAGCTCTGTTTGTGCCTATGACAACCTTCTTCTTCTCAAGCCAAAATCATCCAAATTCAATGTTTTCTCGTGCAAAGCATATCTCGCCGATGAGATCCGATGAGGCAGAAAGCAAGCATGATCAAATTAACAGCCCCAAACAACAATACTGCAAATGCCTCTTTAATACTCTCTATATCTCTTTATGAATCTCTGCGTCCACGCCGCCGCGCGCGTTTCAAGGCACCTTTGCAAGTTCCATCGCCAGCTTGGACAAGCACGACGAAAAGATCCAGCGATTCTCTGGCTGGAAACTTGGAGAGCGCGCAAACGAAAGATCCTACTATGAGGCACACCGTGTTCATATGTCTTCAATTGCCTTCATGCTTCTGAGGCGCTACAGGGCTACATGATGCGAAGTTCGCTTGTATCCACTCGAGGATATCCCTTCATTTTCCTGAAAGCAAATAAAGCAAACATCTACCTGCACATACCTGTACAACAGCTTGCCAGTGGTGTGAACCGCATTGACAACAGTAGCGTTCTTGCTGCTAGCAGAAAGGCCAGGAGCCCCTAGTAGCGTCCTTGCTAGTAGTACGGCCAGGATCCTGGTAGCGTCCTTGCTCCTAGTATTAAGGCCAGGAGCCCCTAGTAGTGTCCTTGCTCCTAGTATATAGTAAGGCCAGGAGCCCCTAGTAGCGTCCTTGCTCCTCCTGCCAGGCTGCACAAGTTGCAACCCAAAATTTCCACTTCTCGTTCCATGCTGGTATCTTCATCGCACATGTGCCTTAACTGATGGATTGGAAAGATGTCCTGATATGTCCTGGAACGAGTGAATCTGCCCCTGGAAACCAATTTAGTCAAGCCGCAACCTTTGATGTTGCATATCGCTGGGGCATTTTTTGGAGGCTCCATCGGCTTTGAATTTGATCTCTCTTGATCCCACGCTGCATGAATCTGCATGACAAGAACATAGAAGCAAAAACATCTCAAACACACAGCGTCAAGAATGCAAACGCATGGACATAGTTGCATTTATATACAAATAGATAATGATATTATCTTCCCTCAGTCTTTGTGAAGTCACCACAATATTATTTCTGAGGTGGTTGACTGCTTACACCACCACCCAAATAAAATCTGACACATCTGGCACAAGCACAAAATATCAAAAACTGCACCCTTCTCCAAATCTGAGACTCTAAATTATTCTGGAATATTTTCCTAATTATTTTGGATCCTTTGACTCTCGACATGAAAATTATTTTGACCCCACCCACCACTCCCTGTTTGGAATAATATCCATTTGTAAATTATTTTGAAAAAATTATTTCAGTATAGTACTCCCACCTATGAAATAATTACTTAAGGCAAGGGATATCTTACTCCTCACGGGTCTGTGAGGATGTCCGAGGACCTCGAGCACGGGTCTGTGGACCTCGATCATGAGAGGAATGCCTAATATGGCACTCAATGACGATTCCCAGGGTCCCAGAGGCACCAAATATGTCTGTATATACTATATTTGTTGACCTTCGACATGCCCATGTCATGCAGACATGGCCACGTATACAGGCCTGCCTGTGTAGGTCACGTGGAGCCTCAAGGATTGCACGTTTCTATGGATGTTTCTTCTAGTCCCATGGATTGTCAGGGGATGTGTATCTCTAAAGAGGATTTGCACTCTGTTTTCAGAGACTCTATGGAAGCTTGGTCCGCTGGTACATGCTGGTAATCAAAACCACGTGCCGCGTGTCACTTGATCGTTGCTTTTTCTAAACTTGGGATGGAGCCACCCCGCCAAAACTATCTGTAACTCCCTTGATCATTGGTGAAATTCCTGTACACTTATAGGACACCTCCTGAATAATGGCCATGATGGCCAATCTCATGGGTCTTGAGCCTGGGCTGAAGTGGCACCAACCACGGCTGCCAAACGCCTAAACCGCGGCCTTAAACTAAATAAAGACAACGGAACCATGAGAGACTCAGGGAGCGGGCAGTGCTAGGCTGACTCAGGGACGGTGGTGTTCCACCGCTCGCGGCTCCTGTGCTAGGCACAGCACGCCCAAAATGCCCCCTCAACTCGTCGCTCGAAGTCCCGCAACTTGATATATCCATGTGGGAAACGATTGATTGGAATCATCGATCCAAAACTTGACATGCCGGAGTCTGCCGGAGTCAAGCCCAAGTCAGCCTGCACTGGCTCAGCTACCTTTGGAACAAGATGGAGCCCACGAACCCGAATGCAAACACGTTCGAAAAGCTACATATGTCCAAATGACACTCTTGTAGGACACTCTTGTGGGACACTCTTCTGGGACACTCTTGTAGGATACTCTTGTGGGTCACTCTTGTAGGACACTCTTGTGGAACACTCTTACAGGACACTCTTGTAGGACACTCCTGAAAGGCACTCTTGTGGGACACTCTTGTAGGACACTCTCGTGGGACACTCTTGTAGGACACTCTTGTCGGGC